TTGGCATACAGTGTACTTTGATGGGTGTATTTATTTATGTTTTTTTTTTATTTAAAACCAAGTTGGGATCTGATGGTCTTCATTGGGTTATTATTTATTTTAACATTTAAGGATTAATTTCACCCTGTTTGACGGGTTGGAAGGAGTTTTTGCTTACAGTGTACCTTTATGAGTGTATTTATGTTTTTTAAAATGTAAAACCAAGTTGGAATTTGATCGTGTTCATTGGGTAATTATTTATGTTGAAGTTAAAGGGTTAATTTCAACCTGTTTGGCGGGTCCGAAGAGATTGCCTCTTATAGCGTCTTTTAGTAAGTGTATTTATGATTTTTGAAATGTAAAACCAAGTCAGAATCTAATCGCCTTCATTGGGTAATTATTTATTTCGAAGTTAAAGTGGTAATTTCACTCTGTTAGTCTGGTCTGAAGGGATTTTAGTTTTTAATGTACTTTGGTAAATGTATTTATGATTTTTTGAATGCAAGAGCAAGTATGAATTTGATCGGCTTCATAGGATAAATATCTTTAGGGGTATTTATGGGTTATTGATTTTTTTTAAATATTAAATACTTCACAGGATAATTATTTTATGAATTTTAGGGGGTAATTTTATCCTGTTCAACGGACCCGAAGAAATGTTTCGGACACTGAAGCTAGTGGCCTAGGCACCCAGCGGCCAGCAAGACAGCAGTGGCGTAAAATATGATCGGCTCCGTAAAAAAATCTGAACGTGAATATTTGGACTTTTCACGGTCCAGATTTTTTCTAGAGGCCTTCAAGAATTTAAATAAATCAAATTCGAGAGGAGAGGAGGCCAAGGATCAAGTCGAAGGACATGGAATCCTTAGTAAAATTTAATCGACTCCGTAAAAAAAACTGAACGTGAGTTTTGCATTTTTCACGGACCCGATTCTTTCTAGAGGCCCTCAAGCATTTAAATAAATTGAATTAGCGAGGAGAGGAGGTCAAGGATCGAGTCGAAGGACATGACATCCTCAGTAAAATTGAATTAGCGAGGAGAGGAGGTCAAGGATCGAGTCGAAGGACATGACATCCTCAGTAAAATTTCATTTTCAAAATCTGAACTCGAATACTTGAACTTTTCACGGTCTAGATTTATTCTAGAGGTCCTCATATACACAAATAATTTAAATTAGCGAGGAGAGGAGGCCAACGATCGGAAAAAAGGACATTAATCCTTAGTAAAATTTAATCGACTCCGTAAAAAAATCTGAACGTAAATATTTGGACTTTTTAAAGTCTACATTTTTTCTAGAGGCCCTTTAGAATTAAAATAAATCAAATTTGAGAGGAGAGGAGGCCAAGGATCGAGTTGAAGGACATAAAATCCTTAGTAAAATTTGATCGACTACGTAAAAAAATCTGAACGTGAATATTTGGACTTTTTACGGTCCAAATTTTTGGTAGAGGCCCTCAAGAATTTAAATAAATCAAATTCGAGATGAGAGGAGGCCAAGGATCAAGTCGAAGGACATGAAATCCTTAGTAAAATTTCATCTTCTCCGTAAAAAAATATGAACGCGAATATCTGAATTTTTCACCTTCCAGATTTCTTCTAGAGGCTCTTAGTCTGGTTCACAAGTGCCATTTCCCTCGAAACCTGTCCTCCAGCACCGAAAATTATGATTTTAGGCTCATTCGATTCGGAATGTCATCTAAAACATTCTATCAAAATTCCAAGAGGGGCTAAAAAAAATGCAAAAGTTATAAACAATAAAGTAAAATAAAAAATAAGGGTTTGGTTTTTTTGAAATATTTCAAAAACTATTTGAGATAATCGAAATTTGAAAAAAGATCCTTAAAGAGCAGGAAATTTCCTAAAAAAAAGTCCTACCTCCCGGAACTGTATCAACAACCCTTATAATTTTAATTAAGCGGTGAAAATAACGGTAAAAACGAGTGGTTCGGCTGCCGCGCGCATCGCCCCAATCTGACACATGAACTAAAAAAATTATTTTAACTGATTAAATATTAATATTAAGGAATAAAAAAATTTGGGTACTAAGTAGACATATGAATAAATAATAATCCGTAAACAAAAAATTTTTATCACTATTTTTTTTATTAATTATGCTTTTATTGGTTAATTTTCACCATCTTAATGTAAAAACGCTGATTATTTCAAAACAAGAAATCTAGAATTTTTTTTGATTTTTTTGAGCTATTGTTAAAAGAGTTTAGAAGAGACCCCCGTTGGAAAAATTCAAAAATTTTGATTTTTCACTTTTTTATTAACAAACAAAAAATTATTTATGTAAATAAAGCCATTAGGAAAATTTTTTTTCCAATAATTTTTTACAATAAAAAATATATATGGTTGTTTTTGTTATATTTTTTAGTATTTAAAAAAAATATTGCGTAAAATTGCATTTGTTTACAACAAATTGTTTGTTTAATAAAAAAAATTTTTTATAATACGAAAAACATAATAAATAATGATTTAAAAAAAAATGGTTCCTTAATATTAATATTTAGTAACAAAAAAAAAATTGTTAATTAACAAGTGCGTTTTTTGTTAATAAAAATTTTTTTTTAACAAACGATTTTTTTTAAAAATCACTATTTTCATCAAGGATAAAATTCCAAAGAAAAAGTTTTCAAAAATATAATAAACAATGCATTTGTTTATAACAATTATTTAAATAAAAAAAAATTATTGTTATATGGCTTTTATCAATAAGAAAACAAAATATTAATAATAATTGGAAAAAAAAATTTCTTAATGGCTTTATTTACATAAATAATTTTTTAGTGCCTTTGATTGTTAATAAAAAAGTGAAAAATCAGAATTTTTTCCAACGGGGATCTCTTCTAAACCCTTTTAACAATAGCTCAAAAAAATCAAAAAAAATCTAGATTTCTTGTTTTGAAATAATCAGCGTTTTTATGTTAACATTAAAATGGTGAAAATTAACTAATTAACAAAAGCATAATTTATAAAAACATAGTGATAAAAATTTTTTGTTTACGGATTATTGTTTATTCGTATGTCTACTTAGTACCCAAATTTTTTTATTCCTTAATATTAATATTTAATCAGTTAAAATAATTTTTTTAGTTCATGGGTCAGATTGGGGCGATGCGCGCGGCAGCCGAACCACGCGTTTTTACCGTTATTTTCGCCGCTTAATTAAAATTATAAGGGTTGTTGGTACAGTTCCGGGAGGTAGGACTTTTTTTTAGGAAATTTCCTGCTCTTTAAGGATCTTTTTTCAAATTTCGATTATCTCAAATAGTTTTTGAAATATTTCAAAAAAACCAAACCCTTATTTTTTATTTTACTTTATTGTTTATAACTTTTGCATTTTTTTTAGCCCCTCTTGGAATTTTGATAGAATGTTCTAGATGACATTCCGAATCGAATGAGCCCAAAATCTTAATTTTCGGTGCAATTTATTTAAATGCTTGGGGGCCTCTAGAAAGAATCTGGTCCGTAAAAAATGCAAAATTCACGTTCAATTTTTTTTACATAGTCGATTAAATTTTACAAAGGATTAAATGTCCTTTTTTCCGATCCTTGGCCTCCTCTTATCGCTAATTTAAATTATTTGTGTATTTGAGGACCTCTAGAAAAAATCTAGACCGTGAAAGGTTCAAATATTCGCGTTTAGATTTTTTTACGAAGATGAAATTTTACTAAGGATGTCATGTCCTTCGACTCGATCCTTGGCCTTCTCTCCTCTCAAATTTAATTTACTTAAATTCTTCTAGAGGACCTTTAGAAAAAAAAATTTAGACCGTGAAAAGTTCAAATATTCGCGTTCAGATTTTTTTACGGAGAAGAAATTTTACTAAGGATTCCATGACCTTCGACTCGATCCTTGGCCTCCTCTCCTCGCTAATTTAATTTATTTGTGTATTTGAGAGCCTCTAGAAAAAATCTGGACCGTGAAAAGTCCAAATATTCACGTTCAGACTTTTTTACGGAGTCGATAAAATTTTACGCCACTGCTTTTTTGCTGGCCGCTGTGTGCCTAGGCCCTAGCTTCAGTGTCGTAGAAATGTTTACCTATAGCGTATGTTAGTATATTTATTTTTTAAATGTAAAATTAAATTGCGATCTGATTTCCTTCGTATGATAAATATTTTTATTAATTTTAAGGGTTATTTTTAACCGTATATTAATTATTTGTGGATATTAATGTGTAAAATACATATTGACAAGATTATTAAAATAGTTGTATGCCAGACGCCACTGTTTTCCCGATTGGGTGTTTTCGATTATTTTTACTGCTAAAAGTTACTGCTAACTTCACAGCGGTGTATATCTAACTGGGCATTGTGACCAAAGAAGACAGAAAATGGCGAACGAACACTGGTATCCGATGTATCTTTTTTTTAAATTAATTGACATTGTATTAATTTGAGAAACACCTCCACAGAAAACCCAAGAAACAAACCATCAAAATTTGCTCGGCGCTAAAGCTGTTAAATAATATTTTCAGCTCAATAGTCGATGTTTAAAATTATTATGAAACACCCTGTATAAGAGGTACACTATAAATGCTTTGAATAATTTAGCCGACCTTGGCGCGATGTAAATAAAAACGTTTAAAATCTATAAAATAAAAAATTCACCGGTAGAAAACATTGATTGAATTTTAACTGCCAGGTTGAAAGGTTATTTATTTTATAAATGCCATTTAAATTTTAACCCAAATCACTGCTGGCATTCCAACAGTTAAACTATTTGTTATTAGTTATATTTTATAAGCAGACATGGCAACGATGTAATATATCTAAAAGTGCATTCAAATTAAGCCGCATTAAAAAAATGAAAAATAATAAATAATTATACCTGCATGTAATCACATAATTTCAACGAAATAATACAGAACACAAAATTAAAAATAACATCCATTTACTTTTTATAACCTAGGGTTAATTTTGATAAAAATTTTACAGAGTATACCCCTTAGGTAAGGTACCTTGACTAGTTTTATTTTTAAATACCTAGGTATTCAAAATTTAAAACTTACCTCATTGGATACTTGAATTTTGAACGGTCTAATGCTTGTATCAACTTTGGTTGGCTTCGATACTTTCCACCATGGCTCGCCTAGATCAGGTTTTTCCGGAACATCGAAAATTGGTTTGATTTTCACGTAACTAAAAACTCCTAAACCGACTATTAAAATAGCGAACAACGTGCTACCGGTCCCCATGATTTTTTATTTCAAACTGTTCGTGTTCGTATCTAGATCTAGAACTTAGTACCTAGTCATATATCAGTGAAGTCGAGCAACATTCGATAAGTATAGTTAATTACTGTTTGTAGACCGGTTGATAGGATAAAAGTCCAACAGTAAGTATTTTATTTACAGTATAGGAGATGCGAAGGTCAGGGTCAAAGTTTATAATATTTTTAGGAACAATGTTGACAATTCAAGTTTCAATTTAACTTTGAGATCCAAATAAAATTTATAAATACATTTAAAATCATATCGATTTTCCCTAAAATCAGGAAAAAAGATACATTATGACAATGCTGCATATTCAATAAATGGTTTGCTGTAATGCAGGAACTGAGAGTTAAAAATATTCCAAAAGAGGGCAGCAGTATTACATTATGAGACAATATAAAATAGCGGTCTTGAATGTTGTTTACCTATAAAATGCTTATAATATCTTTTAATTATTAATATTATTATATAAATATTGAAGGTTTGCTTATTTCGTTTTAAGTTTCTAATAAATAGTATTTTAAATATAAACTTTTTAGTGGACTAAAAATGGCAGCTACGAATCTTTTTTAACACTTTTACACTTTTGTGGGTATCCAAGAGATGGCAATGTTAGTATCATTGGTAAATAATTTAAAAAATATAGATAAGCATAGATGGTAAAAAATTTAATCGCGTAAATAAATTCACTTTATACAAGGTGTTAAAAGAAAAGATATTGTAAATTAAAAAACCTTATATACAGTGTGTAACAACAGAACTGAAATAAACTTAGAGATTAAATTACTGTGCATATTTATAAAAAATCTCAAAACACATCAATTATTTTATATTATAAAATAACGTCTTGCAACGTGAAAATTTCACTCCTACCTTCAACAGCCCTTTGAGTGACAATTGCAAATTGCAACATCCAAATTTGTAAATAGGAATAGGAGCTTGTGATATCTCATTTGAAAGGTCTCTTCATTCTCTGTTCAAAAATGCTGTGGTTTTTAATTGCATCGCAAAACTTATCAGTAAAAAATAAATAAATTACCAATAGAGTTTAGTTCCTGATTATGTAAAAAATAAAAACATCAATCTTAATGTAGAAGATATTTAAAATGCCATGCTTCAAAAATTCTGGCAGCACCTATACTCAGACACTACATGACGTCCATTGGACCAGAGCTGTTCCAAGTACAAGAAAAAAGTACTTAAGTACAGAGTACAAGTACTCTTCCCAAAAAGTACTCGAGTACCAAGTACATAACGTAGAAAAGCACACTTAACGAGTACTCGAGTACTTTTGTAAGTACAGAGTACCCAAGTACATTAATAATTAATTTGTTATTATATAATCTTATAGCTTTTGTATACTATACGTATATACTAGTATAGGTTTAAATATATTAGATATCCACAGTCGGGTAACTAAATACTAAGTACTACAAAAAATGTTGTGTTGTATTTAGTTGATTAACTCTGGATATGACGACAATAAAACAATAAAATCTATACCTTTCTAACCAACATGCCTATCAATCAGGAAAATCTTGTGAGTCTGCTCTGCATCATCTTGTAACCAAGATAGAGGGAGGACTCCGTAGCCAAGAAATAGTCCTAGGAGCATTTCTTGACATAGAAGGAGCTTTTGATAATACCTCCTTTAAATCAATGGTAGCTGCCGCTCGCAAATATGGAATAGAAGACACCATCTGCTGGTGGATAGAAGACATGTTATGCGGACGGCAAGTACAGGCACAAATGTTCAGTGAAATCATGCAGGTGAATATCCACAGGGGATGCCCACAGGGTGAAGTCCTTTCTCCTCTACTTTGGAACCTAGTGGCAGACGAACTTCTGAAAACACTAAACAATCAAGGGCTGTATACCCAAGGATATGCCAATGACATAGTCATTCTTATCCGAAGGAAACACCAAACCACAGTCTTTGAACTCATGCAAAGAGAGCTCTTAGGCTGACAGAAATGTGATGCGTTAGGGAAAACCTCTTCGTAAACCCTGACAAGGCACAACTCATAACCTTTACTCGAAAAACAAAATTGGAGATTTTAGAAACTCCGACTCTGTTTGGAGGAAGGCTAAACAAAACGAACCAAGTAAAATATCTGGGTCTAATCCTAGATAGCAAACTTACTTGGAACCAACACTTACAAAAAGTGACCAACAAATGTAAAATGTCTCTCATTGTAGGGAGACGGGCATTTGGAAAAACATGGGGATTAAAACCAAAAATGGTCCACTGGCTATATTTGGCAATAACAAGACCCATTATAACTTATGGAGCGGTTGTTTGGTGGACAAAAGTAAACCAGAAAACAGCCCTCAATACCCTCTCAGGAGTACAGAGGCTGGCATGCCTTTGTATAACAGGAGCACTGAGAAGTACACCGACAGCCTCTATGGAAATCATTCTAAACCTCCCACCCCTTGACTTAGTCATAAAGGGGAGGCCAGAATGAGTGCATACAGACTGCAAATCTCCAACAACTGGAACCCACTGGGACATATAAAACATACCAGAATAACACATGAAGTAAATGATTCTATATTAAATATGGGATCAGATCACATGACACCCCTCCTAACCTTTAACAGACTCTTCCAGGTCAATTGTAACTGCAACAAGGTAAATAAGGAGATAGATAAATACTTGATTAGCGGCCTCGTATGGTATACGGATGGATCTAAAACTAACAAGGGAACAGGCTCTGGCGTACATGGAGTTAAACTCAAATGCGACATCATCGTCTCACTGGGAAAACATGCCACTGTATTTCAGGCTGAAATACATGCAATTGAATTGTGTGTACGAGATAAGTACAAAAAACAAACCATCCTAATTCTCTCAGATAGCCAGGCAGCTTTAAAGGCTCTTGATTCAAACAGAATTAAGTCAAAGCTTGTCTGGAACTGCCTTGGAATACCAAATGATCTGGCAACCCACAACAAGGTAAAACTGGCGTGGGTACCAGGGCACAAAGGTATCCAAGGAAATGAAAAGGCTGATGAACTCGCCAAAGAGGGATCAGATCTACCATTCACAGGACCCGAACCTGTATTTGGGATAAGCAAAACCTCTGCTCGACAGGCAGTAAACAGGTGGATAACCATAAAACACCAAATTCACTGGCAACAGATAAGAGGGCACAGAATCAGTAAGCTCATGCTAAGGGGACCAAACCCACGCATGACTACTGAGGGACTACAACTCGCGAGGCCTCATGTATCCAACATTGTGGGATTATTAACGGGGCACTGCTTGCTGAAACACCTTCATGTAATGGGATTACACAATGATCCCACTACGTGTAGACTTTGCATGGAAGAGGAAGAAACCTCATACCATGTAATCTTCGAATGCGAAGCTCTTACTGGGCGACGTTTCATCCTTTTCGGCCTAGAACCGGAAAGAACGCCCCAGGAACACTTGGTAGGGAACCTATTAAAACTAACCAAAGACACAGGACTATTCCAAAGATAGTACCTGAATACGAAGAAAGCAGGGGAATACAATAGACCCAAGAGGCCGCAGTGTTCTGGGCCAAACCTAACCCTACCTGCTTACAACCAATAAAGATACTTTTCTAGGAACCAATTTTATTTGCCTTTAATATTACAAGTTTTTCAAAATTTGCATCAGTAAGAGCGTGGCGACGAGGGTCGTTTAACATTGTTGCAAATGAAAAAAGTCGCTCCACTGTAGCAGAAGATGGTAAACATGTATTATACCGTATAAAAACTTTTTTATTATTGGGTAGTAATCCAGCATGGACAGATCGGTTTTCTTATCCTCAAGATAATATAAAAGCTCCAACTCAACTTTTGATCTTCTTTCATCGTGTTTGTTTACTTTCTTAGATTTCTAAGATCCCGATGTTTCGATTTCATCAAAATCAAAATAACCGTCATATTCGTTGTCAGCATCGTGTTCATTACTATCATTGCTGCCATTGTCATTATCAACATTTTCAGAATCTAACAGCCGTTCAGCACATGAAAAAAATGTTTGTTTTACACGACAAAGATTGAATAATTTATACGATAAAGTTCACTAACTTAACTTCGGCTGATCGGCAAATTTAAAACATTACCGTCTCCGGCTACCGACAAATCGAATCAAACATTGCACGTGGCAGTTGGAACAGACAGACTGAAATTGAGACAAGTCTAAACAAATATGAACTGCGCAATATTTGTATTTGTGAGAAGTACTTAAAGTACTTATTTGTCTGAAGTACTTAAGTACATTCAAAAGTACTTACAGTACTCTAAAATGTACTTGAGTACAAACGTTCTCAATACAGTGAAAGTACAAGTACAAATACATAGGATCCTAATGACTGAGTACCAAGTACACTAAATGTACTTAGAGTACAGCTATCGAGTACTTGTACTTGAATACCGCACAGCTCTGCATTGGACGTCCATATTTTGTCCAAATAATATCCTGGATGTCCATGAACTTCATATGGATGTCCAATAGACATCTATTTTCCGTTATTCAATGAATGCTATGTTATGTTATGTTATGTTGGGAAGTGGGTGTTAATAAACTGCGACCTAAAATATCTATCGTGTCCCCTTCTGTCGCTAATGCAGCAAATAAATATCTCAATGCCTATAACGACCCTTCCAATCCTATTTTCTCAAGGAAGAGTAAGTTTTGGAGTGGCTTCAAATTAGGTAAATCTCCCTATTCTATTTGATAGCCTCCTAGATATAGTGCCCTTGGATTCTGAAGTGCTACATATTCATTTAGAATGTGAATGGAAATTTTGTCCTCCTCCTCACAAAATCTGCACTCACTATCCTCTACTACTCTCAGTTTCCCTAATAACACCGATCTGCCAGAAACATCCCATTTGGGTTCCATGTATGTTTCTATGTTTATGACATAAATGGTACGTCCCTATGATGTCTCTAAAGAAACGTTTCTGGAATGATTTCTCAAGAACGTTTTAGAAACATCGTAATTATGTATAGGTTCGTTTTAAATATTATTTTGATGTAACAATGAATTATAAAATTACTGCAATCGCCTACAATCGCCTACAATAATATCAAACTCCAATATTAAATTTGAACATTTTGAACAATA